AATGCAATGTTCCTCCATCACCACTAGTATTGATGCAGGAGTAAAAATATCCTTTTCAAACGGGGAGTAAATGAGCTTTTGTATTTCATTCTTTTCATTTGCAGGAAGAAGCTGAAATACAAGCAGAACTTGAACGTTTGGAAAGAGTTAGGAATCTTCACATAAGAGAACTGAAAAGAATAAATAATGAAGATAATTCACAGTAAGAGACTTAGTATCTTAATTTTACATGTCTGTTTTTAAAATAATGCTATGAAATCACATGTCACCTACAGAGGATAGGGTCATTCGTAAGTTTTTCTTTGGTTCTCTTTGTTTATGAATATATTTTAAACCCCAATTTATTAAAAATTTCAAAAAATAATACTTATAATTTGGTAAACTTATGAATAGTTTTATTGAACATGAAAGAAATAACATATGTACACAACTTTTAGTGCAGAAGAGCTAAACCTAGCTAAATCATATTGCTAGGCTAAAAAAAATACTTGTAAGGAAACCTAATGCAGTTCACTTAGCTGACAATAGTGCGAGAAAATGGCAGGGAAGTTTGATGCAGCAGCAGCAATTCTGTGATGTAGTTAAAATTAGTTTTGGTTTTATCGTACAGGTACCTAGTAGGAAAAAGACAAATGCCGTCTCTGTTGTGTTGTACTTCAGCTTCCATGGCAATATATCATAATGTTGAATCGTTACTTAATATCAGCTATTAATATGTAGATTTGAAACGACTAATTGCATAACTAAAAAAAATGTAATCTGTTTTCCATGGTGGCGAATCCAAACGGCAACACTACAGTTTCACCAGCACTTTAAGCTGGCACCGTTACTTGAAAGGAACTGGTTCTGTCTATCCCCGATTGCTTCATTATGCCCTTGACCTGTTTCCTTTCACATGCTTGCAGTGGCATTGTTTTTTCTGAACAGACACTGGAAATTGATCCAGGTTAAAACCAGCTCCTCTGTTTTCATTCTGTGGGTTAATTTTAACTATGGATCGATTTCCTGGTTTAGTTCTTCGCCCCAGTTGCAAAAATGCTGCCATAAGGAGAGAGGGCAGTGCAAGGGTGGAACAAACAGCTGGGGAAGGAGATGGTGGGTCTGGGCTTATTTCTTTCTACACTAGTAAATAGTTATGAAACAGTAGCCTTAAGACTTCAGGATTTTTAGACACACTAGAATTGTATATGAACTAAGAATTTAAACACTAAGGCAGCAAGACGTGAAATTGTACTTAACTGTTCTAATGGTCCCCAAACCTACCCTGCAGGAATACAGAAAAGTGCTGTTACCATGTAGCTATGATGTTAATTGACAGCTAAATTGATGTTGTTTTGGATATGAAAAATAATGGGTGTTGATGCTTACAATTCAATGGCAGAATATTCTACTTTAAAAACAAATGTCCTACAACAAATAAACAGGCAGCTTTTTGCAGGTTAAGTGATAACCTTTTTTAATCTTCAGTGCTTGCATTAGAAGAGGTTTTTTTTAAAGAAAACTTCAACAAGAAGAAATAAATGCCACAGAAAAATGTGTAAATGTTACATATGTGGGGCAAAGAACGTCCAAATGACAGTCCCAGTTGAAAAGAGAGTTACAGGACATGGGCAGGCAGAATACTGCAGTTTCACTGCTCATCTTCTGTGGTCAGTCTTGACACATTTTACGGTATAGAATGAAAAGCTTTGAACTGTGTGTTCATGTTTCTGTGGGAGTTTAGACTTAAGTATTTACCAGCTGGCCAAGCTGCAGTTTACAGTTGTAATACAGAAGACAGAAGTAATGCAGGCCCGTAGCCTCTGCTGTCTTTCCTAACATGTCTTGGCAATTTAGCCATTTGGTAAGGGAGAGGGTTCTGAAGTGAGGCAGCTGTTGGGTCCTGACTCAGATCCTGTTGGGTTTTTAGCTTCCAGCTGTGGTACAGAGCTGAGCTCTCTTTTTTGTTCTAGCAGTGTTCCCCTCTACGTCCCTCTACCCTTCTCTAGTATCCCAGTATAAAGTAGGTAGCAAACTCGGGTGTTTGGGGTTCCAGCCTTGGCACTGAAGAATAGGAAATTTTGCCTAGCTTAGAGATGGTTAAACTTGTATGCCTGTATGTGTCCTTTACAACTGCACCGGGGTAACAGAGCAAGCTGAGAGTGCAAGTTAGGGCTTCCCTGTCTGGGTTTAGAGCCCATGGGCTGCTGGGGCTACCTGCAAGGTGCATCTTCTGAGCCACGGAGAGTCACACAGAGTAACACAAGCAGCAGTGGAGAGGAAAGGTGGTAACGTTCACAAGACTGGCCCTACCAAAGGCATACATGTAATACAAGGACCAAGAAAATACAAATTAAATTTGTCAAGCGTGGCTTTAAAGTATTGGGCTACTGTTCACATGACATCAGTTGCCTAATGATGCTACCTGTAAATTTGTTATGTCTTCTACACTGAGTGCATTACACTTACTGTTTATGATTTTTTTTAAATGTCTTTAGCATTGAAATACGTATTTTCATAGGAAAATGAAAGTTTTGTGTTTGAAAGGGGCACAGTAAGGAAGAATACCTATTTTCCCTCAAATACTTTATTTTCTATCGCCATACCTACAAAACTGTAGAGAACATAAAAGGATGGGATGACCTATTGGCAGACTAACCCTAAAACCTTCCTTAAAGTTTTCTATGGAGAATAACTGGCAGCTGGACCTAGGTTCATGAGTAGAGTTGGGTCATCATTGCACTAGAAATGTGACAAGTATTCACCTCCTTTACCCCTGGTTGGATGGAAGGATGTATTCTCTTCTGCACATTGCAGGAGAGAGTATGGTCCTTTTCTCTGTCCCACAGCATCATTTTGTGTTTGGAAGGAGTGTTTTCTTCTAGCTTTTGATTAAACTGCAGGCAGGTATTCAGTTCTTTGGTGTGTTTTTCCCATACTGCTGTTTGCTATTTGTTAACTTCTTAATGTTATATAAAATCCATTTTGTTAAAGAGGGGCAGGTATGTACAAGTCTGGTCATGCTTCATATGAAATTGGAAGAATATCCTCCTTGTCTGTTCCAGAAAGCTGAAGTTTGAGACTTCTCTAAAATTTGTCAGAATAAAGCGAGAGCCCTTGTATCACATGTTTAAATTTAAGGGTGTTTTTCTTATCCTTACAAAAATAGAGAAAAATAACAAAATGTTTGCCTAAACTGCCTGGTTTGATGATGGTGGTGTGATAGCATTTGTACACTAAGCAGTTGAAAGGTACTGAAATTGGCCATTGTGCCATAAGCTTACACGTGGTATAATATTGTGCAGCATAGTATATATTGCTAGTAAAAAGAGAGCTGCATTTGAGAAGTAATACTAAGGTTTACATTTTAGACTCTATTTGTCTACCTTAAATAGAATTAAATGAAGTATTTCTTTTCTTTTGAGATTTAAAGATCACCCCACGTTGAATGAACGGTATTTGTTACTGCATTTACTTGGCCGAGGTGGCTTCAGTGAAGTATACAAGGTAGAGTGTGTTGGGTCTGCTAAATCTAATCTTTAAGGCATGTACATTTGTATATTTAATCTTCAGGGGAGGGAGGGGATCTAAACAAGCATAAGGATTGTAATGTGGTACACTCTTTGAACATGGGTTGAGCAAACTTTGATTAACCCATAGAGGGAGGTAGCATTGCAATAGATTTGTCAGTAGACTTTTAAATTACATGCCAATTTTTTTCCTTTCCTTATTGCACGTTAATTTTATCATCTTTGGTTATAACTTTCCCATATTTGTGGGTTTCTTTTTTAGGCTTTTGATCTTTATGAACAAAGATACGCTGCTGTGAAGATTCACCAGCTTAACAAAAGCTGGAGGGATGAAAAGAAAGAAAACTACCACAAGTAAATATTAATGACTTGTGCTTCATATGTTAAATTGAATAGCATTTTATTGATTGTAGAGGTTAATGTATCCATCTTCTTTTAGACATGCCTGCAGAGAGTATAGAATACACAAAGAACTGGATCATCCCCGGATAGTTAAATTATATGACTACTTCTCCCTGGATACAGATACGTAAGTACATAAAATGATACATTTTCTAGAACTTTGCAAGGATTTTAGTGCTTCATATTAGATAAACAGAAAGAAAGAGTATTTGAACAAAAATAACATGTTCTTGCTTGCAGCCGAAGTGTTTATGGTATCATAGAATCACAGAACGGTTTGGGCTGGAAGGGACCTTAAAGACCATCTAGTTCCAACCCCCCTGCCATGGGCAGGGACACCTTCCACTAGACCAGATTGCTCAAAGCCTCATCCAGCCTGGCCTTGAACACTTCCAGGGATGGGGCATCCACAGCTTCTTTGGGAACCCTGCCAGTGCCTCACCACCCTCTCTGGGAAGAATTTCTTCCTAATATCTTATCTAAACCTCCCCTCCTTCAATTTAAACCCGTTACCCCTTGTTCTGTCACTACAGGCTCTTGTAAAAAGTCCCCTCCCCGCTTCCTTGTAGGTCCCCTTCAGGTACTGGAAGTGTCCTTAAGGGGACTTCAAAAAAAAAACCAAAACACCACCACTAGTTGCATAATTTTGTCTCAGCTGAATATTGCAGGCCTTCTATAAAGTACTGAAAACAGTGTTTTGCAACACCTGACTGGCAAGCCCTGCAGGATGTCCTGAGGGTGAAGGGGACAGGCAGTGCTGTAAAGGTTTTGGGCAGAGCAAGGGCTGCTGCAGGGCAGCTCTGAAAGGCTGCTGTAGCTTAGACAAGTTTCCAGGACTAAACGACATGAGGAGCATTGTCAGCCTAAGTGTAGCCCATGGTCACTGGGCTGCACCTCTTTGCATGAAATTTTGTCGTATCTTATGGGATAGTGAATGCGTTTTTCTATTAAGAAACATGCCTGCATAAATAAGGGTTGGGTTTTTTAACCTATTGTCAATATGGATGCATTTTTCTCTTGGTGAATACGAATGTTCTGATTGATGTCAGTTTTCATAAGCTGATAGTTATGCCATGTGTTCTATTAACAATTTGATTCATACAGTTTAATATCCAGGCAGCCATTCTTAAATCTGCCAGTATCAAACGAGGTTGTCATATTTCCGTTTCTCATTGTGCAGTTTGATACTGTATTTAACTTTGTCTCTCTGAATTCTGCCTAGGTTTTGCACGGTGTTAGAATACTGTGAAGGCAATGACTTGGATTTCTATCTCAAGCAACATAAATTGATGTCAGAGAAGGAAGCTAGGTCCATTGTAATGCAAATAGTAAATGCACTACGGTATCTCAATGAGATCAAGCCCCCTATTATACACTATGATCTTAAACCAGGTAAATGAGTAGTGTTACAACTGAAAATGTCCTTTTTTTAAAAATCCTTTCATTTTATTTTTAATTCTAGCCTGAAAATACCAAAATTGTCTTCTCTATGTCAGGCTTACTGTAAATGAAACAAGTGTGTACTTCTCTTTCTAGCTTTATTTCCAAAATAATTTGTTCTTTCTTAGGGAAAATGTTTGTCATAACTTTTCTACTTTGTATTATTTTGTTTTAGGGAAAAAAATGATACAACACATAGATACATACACTGATATTTAGCAGTATAAACAGGTAAAGTCATTAGTTATTCAGTCCTGTCTGATCATTGTGGAATGCTGATGTGTAAATCATTTTTCCCTTACGTATTTCTTAGCCTGTAAAGGGTTCAAATAGGTAATCAGTTACTTTCAACATCCCAGCATAGACACTTCAGGACGAAGTTTTCTTTACAATGAATAATAAGCATTGTCATAAACGATGTATTCTGTCTTGATTCCATGGCCTTTGATGCACAACCTTCATGAATGATGCTACACTTCCAAGCATGGGGTTTGTCATGGAACTCTTAGTGCAGCCTGTTTGCTTGCTGCTGTGTAATAAATTGTTCAAATAGATTTCTTGTATTTTGGTGTTTCCTCGCTGTCCGACCAGCTCCCAGCTGAGGGACCCATTTCAGATGATGATGAAAACCTAGAGAGTTCCAGAGACATGCAATGAAATCTGTCAGTCAAGTTGCATCATTTTTGTACCTTCAAGTCTAGAGTAAAGTTGTCACTTATCCCTCATGAAGTTAGATGTTCCTAAAAATTGATTCTAGTTTTGAAAAAAAGCATTCTGTTAGCTTTTTGGGGTAACTTTTTCTTTTTCCTCCTGGATAGGTAATATCCTTCTTGTAGATGGAACAGCATGTGGAGAAATAAAAATTACTGATTTTGGCCTGTCCAAAATAATGGATGATGATAGCTATGGTGTGGATGGAATGGATTTAACTTCACAGGGAGCAGGAACTTACTGGTAATGCCTGGTTTGATTTTGCTATTTAGACTCTGGGTCATTGTTCAGACTTCATAAATGCTCTCTTACAAAGCCAGTTTGGTGAGAGAGCTAGAATTAAAAATACTAATATGGATGACAAACACAAGTTTTTGTGTGGTACTGTGAATGTTGATATTCCCAAATGTTAGAATGGTAATACAACAAGTAAGATAAGAGAGTGTGAGTGTGTGTTGTGTGTTCATATGTATACAAACGTGGAGATGATCACTATGATTTAGAAACATGGTTTCCCTGAAGAAGCAGGTGTTTAATCTTTGGCTGCAGGTGGTTGAAGACGTTTGACAGCGCTGTGATGATTAACTGTGAGTGCTTAGTCTTTGGAAATCTTAGAGCAGGGATTACCAGCAGGTAATGTCCTTAGGACAAGAGAGTATTTACATTTCTGTCCTAAAGGTTAACGGCAGCTCAGCAGCTGTGATTTGTTTTCTGTGAGCACTTGCACGCTTGTCCAAAAACCTCAGGTTTTAGAACTGACTACAGTACAGGAATGTTGATAAGAATTTCATCGCTTACAGAAAAGCTGTTTCTAGAATTGCACTCTAAAGATGCAGCTTCTTCATGGCACAGTAGCTCTTTGAGCCTGGGTGCATGGTACCTGTGCCGGGGTGGGTGGAATAGAATGCCTGTATTGGCCCAGTTATTACTTGTGAATTCGTTTGGTCTTTCCTCATTCTGCCTGTAGCAAGATCAGAGTCAGGAGCTGAAACCTAACTAATCAGATAAGCCAGTGTCGTTCCCAATTGCTCTTCAACTTTTCCCATATTTGGAAGTTGCACATAATAAAGTTTTTGCCTTTCCCTTCAGATTTTTTAGAAAAGACAATGCACATACTCATGCACAAATCCCAGTGCGCACATACTGTGAAAAGATGATTAAAGTTGAAGTATTTTAGAAGTGTTAGGCTTCTGCTACTCTTTTTAATGGTACATGTTTAAACACCAATTTAAACATTTTATTGTGGGAATGTATGTCAAAAAATGTTGCCCTTTGGCTTTCATCTAAAATGCCACGGGCGCTAGTGGTGCTGTAAACTAAGAAATCAAACAACAGTCTGTGGCTGTTATCGGCTAATGGTGAATCTCTGTGTTTCTAAATCACACTTCATCTGAGCCCAAAACCTCCATTAAAGAGGGAAATATTTTGAGTGAGTTTGAGGTGGGGGATGAGTCTGTTTAGAGCAGATGGCACAAACCATCAGCAGCATAGTCCTCGGAGGGATTTCCTCAGTCACTGGGTCTGGTTACCTGCTTTTCCAGGCAGTTAGGTCACATAATCTCCTTTGTAAACGGACAGACATTTGTATTAAATTTAGTGAGTGTTTTGTCCCCAGTAATCTGATTTGAAGTGTGTTCCATAACCTCAGTTCTCTGATCATTAGAAACCTAATCTTCTAATTTACAGACTGTATTTGGGGCCAGTTTATACTTGTTTGTTCCTGTGCCAGTACTGTCCTCCCTAAAGTAGGTTGTTTCCCTTCCTAGTACTTGCTCCTTGGTATTTTTATAGCCCTCAGGGTTTTTTTCCCCAAATTGTAGACTATTCATTCTTCATATCATTTTAGTAGCTTTCTTTGCATTTACATCACTTCATGCTCATTTTTCTTGATTGTTGTAATCAGAATTGTACACAAGTATTCCAGAAGAGATTTTGTGATGCTGTCTGAAATTCATGTTTGTGTTGCATTCTTACCTCATTGTTCTGCTTACCTCCATTTCCACAAATATTTCTTCAGATTTCTTTTAAAGCCTTCTATGCTGTTGCTGAATGTCTCATCTGTAGTTGCTTTAATAGTTTTTATACCTTTTTCGATTTTAGATATTACAGTCAATAATACTTAACTGCCCCCATACTGATATGTTTGGGAGGTTTTTGTTTTTTTTAAAGGAGGTTTCATTTCACCACGTCTTTTGTAATGGAGGAATGGCATAAGAATTTCCTCAACTCTCAGCTCTTCAAGTATGACTTTCTGCAGATTATAGGAATGCAAATATCAGTCACCTTTGTCTACCATATACCCCTCTTGTTAATGTCATCATTCATACTAAAAACTTAGCTAAATCATCTTTAAGCCATACCTACATTAGCTTTGATTCCTAACCAGGCTTTGCTGTAAAATTCCCTATATGGCTTTCATCTTTTCTTGCTCTGATAGATGGAGTTGGTTCATATTTAACCTAGGATCCCAGTTTTTTAAAAGAAGAGATGACTGGTAAAGAATTAGGTAGTATTTGTGCTTGTATGAAACAGACTCTCTGACTGACAGACTCTACCAAAAAACTGTAATCTCCGTTTCAATGGGTGTGCAAGGAGTTGGAATGCAGATCATAAGGCAGTGGTACATTTGTCCAAAGATCAGATGTGCACATGAAGTGCTTGTATAATTTGATATTTGGACAAGTTCTAGTGATGCCATACATTCACTTGCAGACACTGATATGCATGTTTTGTTTTCCAGGTACTTGCCTCCAGAGTGTTTTGTAGTTGGCAAAGAGCCACCAAAGATTTCTAATAAGGTTGACGTGTGGTCTGTTGGAGTAATCTTTTTCCAATGCCTTTATGGTAGAAAGGTAGGAAAATGTTTGAAAAATCTTAGAGTTTTAGTGTAAATGCCAGTTTCTGGTAGAATGTGAATTACACTCATAAAGATGGGGAAGATTACTTCTGTTACTTCTTTTGTGGTGTGCATTGATATTGCAAGAAATGTAGAAAATCTTGACTGAAACTTTTTTTTATTTACAGAATGGTTAGCAGTTTGTATTATCACTGCAACAGCTTACTATAGCGTAAATATTTATAGAGTCAAAGTGGTTGGATAACTTATGAAGAAAATAATGTGCTTATTTTTTCAGCCATTTGGCCACAATCAGTCACAGCAAGATATCTTACAAGAAAATACAATATTAAAAGCCACCGAAGTTCAGTTCCCCGTCAAACCTGTTGTAAGCAATGAAGCCAAGGTAATTTTCAGTGTGATCTCTTGAGTCACAATTAAAACGCTCATCAACAAGGATTCATCTGTAAAATTGCTGTTAAGAGTGCTGTGGATATAGTAACTAAATGTGTAGGAAAACATAATGGAGAACTAGTATTTTGATGTTTTTATTTAAGCAAACTTATGCTGGGACTTCTCAAAGTCATGTACTTCAAAGCACGACTAGATATGTAAGTTCCAGAAATTTGCAAGTGGTTTTAAAGTAGGCCGCCTCAAAAATGGTCTGCTTTGCTTTTTCCCAGAGGAGCTTATGTGTCTCACTCAAGCTGTCTCACTAGAAGTTCTTGTGAAATACTCTGCTAACAGTAACAAGCTCCTTCTGAAAATAGTGAATGTTATTCTCTGCAGCCTTACTGTCTTGAAGAACTATGTGAGTAAAAATGCCTGGAGGATATGCTTGTTGACACTCATCCCTTTTAAGGTCATGGCATGTGTGTATTAACTCAAATCGGAGTTCAGAAACATAAATTTTTAAGATTAAGAATCTATAAGAGATGTTGCTGCTGAGTCAGGAAATAATACTGCCAGAGACGTTGATCTGCCACAAAGGTGTGGATGGGCAATGTTTCCCATATTTCAAAATCTTATTTTGAGACATCTGTAGTGTCAAACTCCTCTCCACATTCAGAAACAGATTAAGGTGGTGTCCCAAATGGTTGCTGCTGTGAGCATCCATAACACCAATCCAGTTCTACGAATATGGAAGAAAACATTACGCGTGTTACATGGTTTGTAAAACTCTCCCAGTTTTTGAAAGATATATTCATGGCCAGAAGCAGAAGAGAGATGCTCGTTGGAAAAAAATGGCGAGATAGTAGGATGATTATTCAAGTTTCAGCATTAATTAAACACACTTAGATTTTTGGGACACACATGAAAAAAACTTAGGAATGTTAAGGTTTAGCTTCTAAAACTCAAAAGGAAAGGAAATGTATTTCTAGAGGCTGTAACTTCCTAAGAACGTAACTCTTTCAGGTACGTAAACCTGCTGTTAAAATTTGTAGTGCATTTCAGTTGGTTAGATTTTCCAAAAGTAGTCTTAGTGAGCAAGTTGCAGTTAAGGTTATGAAAATTTGGTCGAAGAATTGTCGTTTGTCCTGGGGTTTTGGTTGGTTGGTTTGTTTGCTGGTTTTGTTGTTTTCACCACTGTTTGGAAAAATTGTCTCTTGAATGCAGTTGACAAATACACGTCATGTAACTGATAACTTTACATGTTAATAGTTTATATATCCCTGTCTCTTAACTTCACGTTTCTGTCGTTAGTAGTTTTTATATAGAGGATGTTAGGAAAGAGTAGACAGTTCAGCATGGAGAATTGGCAACTTATTTTACATTCTTAGTGCTTTCCATGTTCTGTTTGTTTGTTTGAAAGACTAAAGTGAACTTTCAGCGTTGTCCACTCTTACTGACATTGTCACGATAGCTGTAAGAGCAAGGGGAAAAATCGTTCTCTGGTGGAAATGCTGTAAAACAATTTCAGAGTGACTTGTAAATTCAGACTGTTTATGATGACTGTGTAGAATCCAAATCATCTTTCAGATTTATAGGCCTGGCAGTTGGAAAAGAGCAGCTTGTAAACTGAAATTCTGATTTGGAAAACATGGAGGTGAAATAAATATTAAAACTTAAATGACATTGTTAGTTTTCAGACTGTAGCTGTCCTTTGATCCTCCTCACTTTTTCCTATTTTGTGCAATGCATCGCAGTAATGTGTCTGCAGTGCCACGGAAGCATGAAGTATTTTGCAGACATTTTAGACACAAACTGTTACTCTGAGGATCTTTCAAATAACTCTTAACAGTTCATTTGTTATGAAGGATTTATTGTACAATTTGATTAAAATCCATAATGTCCGAAAACATGGAGATACATCTATAAACAGAAGTGTATGATTTTTATTTTGTACCTTGTTCATGTTGGGTATGTAAATGATAGAAGTAAATTCTAGCAGGATTCTTTGGAGCCTGTATGACAGATTTTTTTCCTTTAATCTCCAGTTTTTAATTGGTGCAAAGAACAAACAGCTGAACAGATTTATCAAAGAAAAGATACATAATTCTTTTAAATTAAGTTCTAAATTAAGTAATGATGTGCTAATCAGTTCTGTAGCAATAATACGGATTTGCTGTCATTAAGTGTTGAACCTCACGCTCTCAGGAGACCAAATGTTCTGTGTATGCTAGACATAAGACTTGACAGAGACTTTCAGCGCAGAATGATTGGCATACGTTGTATGGGCATAAACGTATCATAACGTAGTGTCTCAAGGTTTCCTAAATAGTCTGTTGGTTATTTAGTGCCTATTGAACATGGCAACACCATTGTCGAATTTCACGTTTGCTCCGTTCCGTCACGGCATGTGTGGTAATGCCTGCTTTCAAAGGTCAGCTGAAGTGTTGAAATTCTGTCCCCGCATCTTCCATCTACTCTTGGTCTGCTGCGCAGCTGAACAGTTTTAGAAGCTCTGTGGAGCTCTTTTTTTACCTTTTCAGTCCTCTGACATTTGCCTTCTGGTTTTTACTAAGCTGTTCAGGGATATATGTGCAGAATTCTAGTTGTGTGAGATGCTAATGTTTTACTTGTAAATATAGCTCCTAAACATGGAAACACAAATCTGAAGTGTGGTTATTTGAAGCCAATTAATTTGCAGATTTTTTTTTTTTTTTCTGCTGCGACGTTACATTTTTTCACTGGTCTCAGTAGTAAAATGTTAGTCATTCAGATTGAATAAGTAAGAATGAGAATTTGTTTAGAAGCTAGGTTTTACTTGTAAATATAGCTCCTAAACATGGAAACACAAATCTGAAGTGGTATTATTTGAAGCCAATTAATTTGCAGATTTTTTTTTTTTTTTCTGCTGCGACGTTACATTTTTTCACTGGTCTCAGTAGTAAAATGTTACAGTCATTCAGATTGAATTAAGTAAGAACGAGAATTTGTTCAGAAGCTAGTTTATCCAAGAGGACATGCATATTTGCTTGTAAGCAGACGTAATTATTTGGAATGCTATTGTAACTTTTTACATTTCTTTTCTAGGCCTTTATCAGACGCTGTTTAGCATACCGAAAAGAGGATAGATTTGATGTCCACCAGCTGGCTAATGATCCTTACCTTCTCCCTCATATGAGGAGATCAAATTCTTCAGGAAACTTGCATATGACTGGGCTAGCAGCATCCCCTACACCACCTACTTCGAGCATCATTTCATACTGAAATTTCTCCAACCGAGGAATGGCATGATAACCTTTGTGTAGTTTCCAGATACAGACTTGAGCTTGAAAGCATCTGAGTGTTTTTACATAGGACAAGTTTGATAACTGCGTTTTCAGACTGAAGTCCTCCTACATAGTGTCATTTGTATGATTGGAATGGATCATGGACTGTGAATAAATGTACCCTTCTGAGAAATACCTTGAAACATTGAAGGATGACACTGCCTGTTACACACCAACAGGTATACTGTGTTTAAGACTGAAGAAAAGGTTTTTAGTTTGTTTTTTCTGGGGAACATTGTAAATAATCTTTTTAATACTTAAAGTACATTTGGTTGATACTGGAAAGTTCTAACATGAAGGGTAGTTTTTCATTATTTAAATAAAAAAGGGTAGTGAGCAAAAACACAGGAAAAATTCCGTGCCTGGTTATAAACTAAACTGCCATCTTTCCAAGACATTGATCTTCTGAAACCAAAGTAAGGAGTGCGAGATGGTCGAAGGTATGTTCTCTATTGGATTCCTTAGATAAAATTGTAGTATTTTATTTGGCAGCTCATGCTTTTACCTCCAAAAATGTGGTGGTGTTTCACTGAATTTAGATTGGAAGGGTCATATGGAATTCCTGGTACTTATTTCTCAAATAGATTGCTAATTTTGAAATAGGCTCAATTTTCTAAAAATACTATACTGGCTGTGGTATTGAAACTTGTGAAACTTGCCAGGCTTCTGATAAAAGCAAGCAACAGTATGAAACCAAATGCAAACAGGTCATGTATAATGTTCTATGCAGGAATAATGATAAATTCCCTTCTAGCTCTATTGTAAATTGTTGTACAGATGTCACATTTTCAGTTAAATTTCAGCAACTTATTCCTGTACAAATGTTTAAAGTATGGCTTTTTCTAATTGGATATTGTATTTTTTTTAAGTCTCCCTCAAGGCGCTTTTAATTGCTGCTAAACGACGTTGCTTTTCCTTTTGCGAAAGAATGAAATGACCTCCTTAAGGTGCAAGTCAGCTGTACGTTACAGAGAGATTCAGAGTAGGTAACTCATTAACAATCAAGGCATGTAAAACAGGTCTTTGTTGGCAACATGCAGTACAGTTCTTTCAGTCAGTTTATTGCGTTCTCAACCTGCAGAGCGCGTGGATACTAGATGTAGAAGTTGCTCATGGTTATTCTCTATTGCAGGAAGTTCCTATCAACAAGGAAATGTTTCTTGTGGCTTGTACAGATATTTTAAAATGTGAAACATTTTCTAACTGCCTTGTATGGTAGAAACTTATTTTACAGAACAGTGTCTCTCTCTCACGTTGACTATTCTTTTTACTATCCCATTCTTGATGCTGAATACCTATATGTAATTTTGTCCATGTTGCAGAAAAAGGAGGCTGTATTACCACAGGTTTTCATTTAGTATTGTACAGTTAAACTGTTGCTCTTGTTTCTGATGTTGCAAGCCATTTTGTTTTCATTGTATATAAAGAAACATTAACTGTCTCTTTAAGATGCTGCTGAAATTGTAGAGAATGTAGCCAAAACGGTAATAAACAATGACAGTTGAAATTTCAAGGTTTTCCTTGCATGTTTTTGCATTTCAAAAAAGGGAAATTGGCTAACCTTATCACTGAGCGACCCTTAGCTATTTAAAGCAAACTCTCTTAAATTACAGACAAAAGGCCAATAATGGAGTACTTGGAGTAACATTGGAGGTGCAAGGGGAAGTTTCCATGAAATTTAAATATTCTGTTGTAATGAGGTAACCAAAACATCATTTCACTGAATAGATCTCAGAGAAACAATTTTTAAGTATTTCAGCGGTTCGTTCTAGAATTCTTCAACCATGGGATAAAATTAGCTTATAGAATAAAATTAGACCCGAATAGTGACTCTTTCTGCCTTATTTTACACCAGAGTACTGGGACTGCATCCTTTTCACCCTCTACAGCGTGAGACCGAGTGCAGGGTTCAAGGAGAATGTGGCATAGCTTATAGGGTCAAATCAGATTTCATTCCTTCTTATTCTGCATGTGTCAATATTGGAAGTTACATCGAAGGATGTTCTGCCTAAGGACAAGACGTAAGATGGTTAACTGTATTTTTATTTATCTGGAATGTATTATGGTTACCGCTAGTAAGGGGAAGTCTGGCCTTCTAATAGAGAACAACTGAAGTAAGTAGAAATTTTACAGCTACCTAAAAGTAAGGGGGTTCATGCATTGCACTGATTACATACAGGCTTGTTTTTCCTGTTGTTAGCATCTGGGAATAGGCTGTTGTGGCTGATACATGACGCTTACTCCAGCTTTGCAAATACACATTTCTGAAACCTAAACACTAAGTGCCACATAGAAATACCTGAAAGAAAAGGAGAGTCACCATCTCATCTTCCCCATCAGAGTTACAAGGTTTGTACCTCCAATACACCCCGTTGTGTTTGTGCTGGCGTCTTGCGGTACTGTTAATGAAAGTTTTGTATCCCCCACATGGAGTCATTCTGCGGTCACAAGAAGACGTCTGAGTCGGTGTGTCTGGTGCCTGGCGTTCAATTTGCACTTGGGATAGAAGTACCCTTGAGGCTGAGTCTAGAAGCCCGAATGCCTGCTGCTCATGGAGGAGTGCTGATCCACACCTGGGTAATGCATGCATTGCTTGTTTGGTCTGTATTTCATGCACATTTTACTAATTTCATTACAAGTCATAGAATCATAGAATCATCCATCACTACATTTCCTAAACTCTTCAGGTTTAGCAGCAGGTAGACAGAAGGAGCGAACTTAAACTTCATCAGACAGTTTTTAATGAACCCTGCAAATAAAGGCTTCCTTTAGTTTAAATTCATAAATATTTTTAAATTCTGCATTTATTGGAAGATGCTAGAATACTAATTGGAATTAATTGGAAGATGCCAAAATACGACATTGCTGTGTAATTAGAAAAACCCACTACATATGAAACAGAGGTGGTCACTGTAAGAAAAGTTCTGCACTTTTAACTCTGATCGTAGTGCTACAGGTCACTGCAGCCAGAGTTAACAATGGTTGGCTTGTTTCTGGAAAACAACCGTGTTTTGGCCCTGGTTTATTTACACTTGCACTAAGGCTGTTGAGATTTTGGTGTGGAACATTATTCACCCTCAACTTGGCCTACGCTAGTTGATGGATAGCGTTTTCACGGAGGCTAGTTAATATTTTAATTTTCTAAAAAATGGCTTTAACACTGGCACAAGACTGGAAGGGCATTGCATTGCTGGCCGGCTGCCCAAGTGCTATTGACCGCACACGCTGTGGCTATGAGCAAACCACTGCATAATTAGAGGCTTTCAAAAGCCCATAAAGCCACGAGCACCCTCGGTATGCGAGTCACGGGTGCGTGAGGTGCCGAGCCCGCTGCTGAGGGGTGCTCTGCACTGCCGGACCCTGTGTGGGAGCTGCTAATGACAGCCTCAGCAGGTGACTGGTGATTTAAAATAAGAAAACCATGGAAAGGAAAACATGCCCTGGGATTTGAAGCATCCTGGGTGCTCCTACTCCAGCTTTGACAACTTCTGAACCTGAGGAAACCACAGGTCTGAGGCAGGGCCACCAGCCCAACCAGGGCTGTCTTTCCCATTCCCCAGCTCTCCTGGCCAGGCAGGACACGGCACATCCGGTCTGGGGAGAGGATGCAGGTCCCCAACAGCACTGTTGCTCCAGTTTTGCTTTGGATATCAGCTCTGCTGGGGTTGAAGCTGCTCCTGTCATGGCACAGTGGAGCTGCAGCAGCTGAGGACCCCAACAGGTGGGTGGCAGCTACCCCTCCTTACCTGCCGCCATGTTTGCTACAGGGGGCTGGAAAGGCGAGGGACGTTGCTGAGGAAAAGGGGGCCGCCAGGAAAGGTAAGAGGGGTCTCTTGGATATTTTTTCTCTTCCAAGAGCCCTCGGGACTACTTGGTCTTCTCTAGAAGTGGGAGATTACCTTGAGAAGGGGGACTGGGGACCCCAGCCCAGTCGGGGGGCCTGGGCAGGGTGTTGAGGCAAAGAGGGCCTTAGGATTTGGAGTCAGAGTGGTTAAGAGCCTCCTGATTTTGGTGTCTAAAAGACTTCAGTCTCACAATTGCTATGGTATTTTTAAAAATATTTTTTCTACATACCAACTGTCAGAGGGAGGACTCTGGTTTTGCAGGTGAGGAATGCCTGGCAGCGTTTCACCGTTGTGGTCTCACACTCTGCGTGCCAGCCCACCACGTCTGTCTGCCACCACATTGCCAGAGCACTGTCATTTCCACAGTTCCAACGCGATCCTGCTGTGGGCTTCGGCCTCTCCTGAGGCCTGAAGCTGACCGGGCTCCAGGCAGCCATGGACTGTAGAGCTGAGGATTGTGTTGTGTTTGTAGGAAAGGGGAGACTGCAAATGTTTTCAGAAAGATAATGAATAATGCAGCAATTTCATGTCTGTGTGACCACAGATTGATTAAGGGTTAGACAGAGCTCCTCCTGAGTCACCAGCCTGGGGGCCTGGCACTGGGGCCGAGGTGTTTCCAGGTGCCCTTTCCACAAACAAAACACGTTTTACTTGGTCCTCAGGGATTGCTAGGCAAGGGTCCCTGAAAAACTCTAGTGTCTCCCAGTACCCAAGTTTGGCACAAGCTTACTTATATCCTTGACAAATTTGTCCACCTTATTCTGGAAGGTGCCCATCAGTGGAGGCTGCATTACTTATCCAAGCAATCTACTCCGGTTTCTCATAGCAATCCTGTCTTTCTTGCAGCTTATTAACCCTGTTCTTTCCAGTCCTATGCAGTACAGCATGAAGAACAGCTCCCTGCATTGTGTAGCACATGAGCCTTTCTTTCTGTTTTGAACTTTATGCATGCTTCTTGAGTATCCTTTGTAGGTAAAATCATTATCTTCGGAACAAGTGAGGTCCTTGCATTATTTATTTCTGATATTCAACTCCTAACAGAATGTTTAATTAATTTGCTCTAAGTAATTGAGTAGCCTTGCTGCAATCTTCTAATTGTGCTATGTTTCTCAAGCCGGTAAAGCTCTGTGCATAAATCAAGGGAAAATGCTTTCCCTAAAAATCTCATTTCGTATGTAGTGTCTTTAGAGCTAATCAGGTATCATTAAGAAATTACATGATCTTTGAATTGCAGAATCCCATTGTGCAAATCTGTGGCTATCATTATTATTTTTGGGGTATTTGTGGTTTTGTGGGTATTTGCGCATCATTAAAACATGCACAAGCACTTTCTGTTTAAAAAGTGGTGGAGACCAGTACCATATTTGCTATATCCTCAGAGGATGTGCTTCCATCAGATCAGCAGGTCATCTGGCAAAGTGTTTTCTTGATTTTGTGTGGCAGCTATGCTGTGGTATTCAGCAGAGCACAACTCTGCTGCCCAGTGAAACAAGTATTTCCCAGGAAGAGAATGCCATGGCCTCAGCCCCGAGCCTGGAGCCCAGTACTGTTTCTGTAG